AGATAACTTTCATGGCAGGATCGCGTGTTCTTTGATATTGTCTCCTACGGACATTTTTAAGACGGATCAAGAGCTGAAGATCATCGTCTATTATAATTGAATCGAATTTAACCTCGCATTTTGGTACTGAGGCAGCTCTTGCTTCAACTATAGAAGTAGTCAGAGATTCAAGAGCATAATTAATTTCATCTTTGGTTTGCAAAGGAATGTTTGGATCGAAGTTATATTCCATAAATGTTCGATACTGCTCCCAATCAGCTCTATGGTAATTGAAAGTAGAGCTGTTGGGATTACAAATTATTTCTTGGGATATTTCAAAAGTTACTGGAAGGTGATCAGAACCGAAGTCAGCATGGGTAACCAATTGGCTACAAAGTTGACATGAATCAGTTAAGACCAAATCAATAGTGAAGGGATTTCTTGCAGAAGAAAAGCATGTTGGGCTGTTTGGATATTGAATAGTGTAATAACCTGCAGAACAATCATCAAACAGAATATTACCATAGAGGTAACTCTAAGACCACTAGGTCCCGAAGAAAATCATTATTATTTTTGGCTCACTCAGTACCAGAACAACGGTCCCAAGCAGACCCAAGCTATTTCACTCACCCCTGCATGTTCTGCATGAATCCACACACCCCTGATGTTATCTGTCAAACTTTCATAGCGAATCAAAACAAACATAGTGTAGTAATAGAATTTCACCTAGAATAGGGTACGTTAATCGTTTGCTTGGGACCAATAGGCTACTAAAGTGGTGAGCCAATTTAAAATCGTTAGTTTCGTATTGATTGTTGATATTACCATTGGAATTGCTTTGAGCATTATTCCATGAGCGGTGTTTTGCATTAAAATCACCAATAATAAAGAATTTAGACCTATGACGGGTAAGTTTCTGAAGGTCACCCTTGAAAAAATTCTTTTGTTGGCTTACGCTTTGGAATGGCAAACAGGCAGCTATAAACGTAAGTTGTCCAAATTTTGTTTCAACAGACACCCCCAAAGTTTCAAAAACTTTGGTTTCAAATGAAGAAAGAATTTTATGTTTGATTCGTCTATGAATAATGATGGCAACGCCACCACAGGGTCCATCAAGACGATCATTTCTATAAATCAAGTAATTTGCGTCCTTCTTAACCTTATGGGCAGGTTTAAGGAACGTTTCAGTTATAACGGCAATATGCACGTTATGAACTCTTAAAAAGTTAAATAGCTCGTCTTCATTATCTTTAAGAGATCGAGCATTCCAATTTACAATATTTAATGCTTTAAAATCCATTACTGAATTTTAAAGTCATGACAATATTATTTGCAAATTTTACTCCAGTTTGAATAGCATCAAACATGGAGTTAGATTTAAGCATATCAGAAATCATGTCAATTAATGAATTCTGTAAAAATTCCATTTTGGGGGCAGTAATGCTTCCTAAGTCAAAATTGTCAAAATTTCCATTAGAACGTTGGTTAGTATTTTGATTTCTACCCGCTGCAATAGCAGCATAGGTAGCTCCATTAACTCGCTGAACATTGTTAGCAGCGAGGGGAGTAGGTACAGATGAAACATTTGAAGCAGGGGAGATATTTGTACCTACGGGTACGAATGTAGAATTTGTTCCTCGCTGACCGTTGTTAACAGCAGAGGAATTTGTACCTGGTCGGAAACGTGGAGCGTTTCCTACCTGACGGTTAGAACGAGATTGTAGGATCGCTTTGCGAGTCTTACATTCCCAAAAATTGGATTTGTGGTTTTCACCACAATTTGAACATTTAAATTTCTTAGGATCTTCCTTCACAGGACAGTCGTCCTTTGCGTGAGAGGAATCACCACAATTCATGCATTTAGCTGGCATGTAGCAATTTTTAGTTCCGTGACCCCATCCCTGGCACTTACGGCACTGGGTGAGGTTTTGGAAATTTCCTCCAGTCTTCCTGAAGTGTTCCCACTTCACTCGGACATGGAGCATAAGGCTAGCTTTTTCTAAGGCCTTAAGGTTGTTTAGTTCACTAGACTTGAAGTGAACTAAATAAAAATCATTAGAAATCCCGTTGCGCGAATCGCCAGGACGGGATTTCATTTTCATTTTGATTACTTGGAGTGGCACAACTCCAAGTAATTTTGCCAGTTCATCTTTGATCTGATCCAGGGATTCACCACTGGGCAGTCCTTTCATGACAACCTTGAACACACGTTCAGTTTTGGTGTCGTATGTAAAAAATTTGTGCTTCTTCTCAGTAAGATACTTGAGAAGACATTTAAATCCGTCCAAGGTTTCAGCCAATACACGGCATTCACCCCGACGTCCAATTTGTAGTGAAAACTTAACTTTCACGAAATTCAAAAGTTCCATGCGAAGAGCATGGAAATCGGTAGTGGTTATCACAATAGGGGGAATCTTTTCCTTCTTGGCATTAAGCCGGGAAAGTTTACTAGAATTTTTCTTGGATGATGGATCATTCTCATCATCCGTGAGCAAATCAAATTGATTACTCAAATTAATTTCATCAGAAGGGGGGTCAAGAGTTTGCCCCTTTCTTTTGCGTTTAGGCGCCATGGCGGCAGTAAATTTTAATCCAAATCGACTTCCAAGCAGATTACTATAAGAATCTGAAGGATCGAAGAGGAATTTTCCAAATCGATATCCAAGAAGGATTACCTCGGGTAGGGTCCAAACAAGGATCGAAGAGGAATAAGAGTTGAACAAGGTAGAACATTTTTACAGGTTGAGCACTGAAAAGTGCTGTTTAAATTTGTTGTAGCTTTAGGTAGTAGTAACACTTCCTTCAGCAAAAAGCAAATAGATCCGCACGGCAAGAGAGCACAATGCGGACTGAAAAAAAAAAAAAATAAATAAAATAAAATAATAATAATGATTTTCTTCGGGACCCAGTGGTCTTAGAGTTACCTCTATGGTTTTACATTCTTGTTTCAGCAACCCAGTTTTGGCATTATTAATATCAAATAAAAACAAGCCACATAGGCCCTATAAGAATGCATGAAAGGTATGTGTGACCGCATATACATTTTATCTGACACATGATCTTCATTTACTTAATGAATAATCAACAATAGAAATTTGCGAAAAGGTATAAGGAGATTTCTATTCGTGTAGGTGGCAACACCCTCGGCAAAGCTATGTCCATTTAGAATCCGGAATAATACAATCATCTGTATCTTGGTAATGGATTGACGTACAAATAAGGCTAATACCCTAATACATCAAAACAAAGGTAATTTACTGTATTTTTAGGAAAAAATATCAATACAAATCATTTCTCTTCGTTTCTAATGAAAATTTTTACTTTCTCTTTTATTCCTCCCATCAAACGCACAACTCTGGAGTCAACTTCCTTGGCACATTTGTTCCACATTTTGGTCATCTGAATCGCGTCCCGAGCCGTTTTTCCACTTTTCTTAAGCTTCCTTAGCTTTATTATTGCCCAAAATCTCTCGAACTGCGGGCAGTTGGGAAGATTTATGTTTTTATCGATGAAATCTACGTTATTATCGCGGTACCACTGGATGACTTCCCGGCTGTAGTGGCAACTCGCCAAATCTGGCCAAAACCTCACGGGACCTTTATGGGCTTTAATGAAAGGTAATACGCGGTTTTTGAGGCATTCTTCATTGTACAGCTTCGAGTCCATCGTCTTATTTGTCACGAACACTTTGGTCTTTGCTCCACAGTTGCATATCCCTTGCTAAATCATCAGTTTTTTGGCAAATTTGTCCATAAAAGCAAACTTAAACTTCACAGGAACATCTCATCGTGCCGTCCCCATGTAGAGTTTTTGGCCAGAAAGCTGTCCGCAATCCATTTTGACGTAGGTTTCATCGTCGATGAGCAGGCATCCTTCCCTAATAAAAATGTAATGGTTAATTTGCTTAACGACGTGTTCAAGGTATCATCCCAACCATTTGTGGAATAGTTCAATGATTTGAGCTATCGTTCGTTTATGGTAATTTTTTATTAGGGTTGGTACTTAGTCAAAACCTGCTGGTAAAATTTCCGAGCTCGAGTTTTGGTGACGAAACTTTGCTTCAACGTTCTGTTTGGTTGCTTGCTGGCTCAATAAGAACGATATCCTGCTCGCAAACGAATTCTTCGAACGGTACTGCGAGCAGTAGCGTATTTTTGTGCGATTTCATTATCTGATAGTCCAGGGTTTGCTTTGACGGTTCTCAACACCTTCTGGTTCAGCTTGCGGTCATATGTTCCACTACGACGCTTACCTTGAGGCACTCGATCCACGCTCTTTCACTCCCTGAAACGTTTGAGCACATCACACACGGCTGATTTGGCGATTTTCAACGTTTTTGCGATTTTTATTGCGGACCACGTTGGATTACCAACGTGGGTGTGCAGAATTTTTTCTCTCCTCTCGGCTTCCATCTGAAATAATTTTTGACTCACTGCACGAAACACCGTGAAATTTGTACCACAGAAAGTGGGCGCCTAGGTAAACAAACCGCTGTAAAATAATTCTTGCAGCGGTCACTTTCCGTGATTCTGGATTCTAAAGGGCCACCCACATTAGATCCGTTTGCGTTGCGTTGACGTAAATTTGACAGTTAGACAATAGATTAAGCTGTCACTTTGCCGCAACGCGTCCGATCCGGATCTTATGTGCGTGGGCCTTAACTGGCCAGAACTTTACTTGTGGTTCAAACAGTAACTACCTACGTGACTTTTGAGCTCTTTTGAATGTTTGGCTCCCGTTTGACAGTTGGACTCGGCTGACAAGTATTTTGAGTTAGTTCGCAGTACTCAGGTTTCCAGTGGTTGCCTAAAGTTTTTGTCAATTTGAGTGAACGTTATGAGTTAGATTCACTTGCCGTGATTTATATTAATCCTTCTCTCCCGCTACTGTAACACCCCTCTGATTCTCCGATCTTTTCTGAAAAGTCTCCAATTTTCGCTCTTGTTTACATTTTGCGATCTCGGTTTTATTTTGACAGATCAGGAAGGCGCAAAATTTCGGAACGCTCTAATCAAAATCGTTTTGAAATCAGCATTCGAAATCAGCGCGCAAAGCAAATGCATTATTAGTTTGCATTATTTAGTGAAAAATCTGGCATTTTGCTGTTTGAGAATGCAGCAACTATCCACAATTCCCAAGCTGGAAACCGAAACCATTGAAATCTTCGTCAGGGAAAATGGTTTCACCAGCGACGGCGGAGATGGCATCAAAGTCACACGGAGAACTCGAACGTAAGTGACTGAATGCTTAATGTTAATTGAATCAAATTATATATCGCATTCAATTGTAGCTATTTGAAAAAGGTCGTCGATAATGTTACTGTCGAGGATTTGAAGATAGAAACTCTGACCAAAACGATCAGCGTCCAGGGTATTCTAAAGGAAGTTTCGACTGTGAGCACTACTAAGACAAAGAAAAAGAAAATCGAAGAATCAAAACCCGTGCTGGGAGTTCATACGATAAAAGCTGAGCTTCATGAAGTAGTTGGAGATTTGAAATCGGTGCAATGTATGGATTGTGACAAAGTCAAAGGTAATGTCTTGATTTTGTTCTTTGAAGCTTGTTTAAGAAACAATTATTATTTTCAGCTAAGTGTACCAAAGTTTACGCGTACCTCGTTTGGTTGCAACAGAAGCAGCAGCAAATCCTTCAAGAGATTGAGAACGCAGAGGAAAACATTACAAAGAAGATAAAACGCGAACGCAACATAACTGGTGTTCTCCAGCCCGTTAATTTGGGTGCTCTGCAGGCTAAAGTTGAAATGCCATCATTGCCAAAACTAAAGAAGGAAGCCGTCGCCATTTGTCCATTGGAAATGGAGTCGGCTATGAGATTGTCCTTGTTCAATCTGATTCGCGAATATCAAGGCAATGATCCGCAAGAATTTCTGCAATTCTGCGGAAATCGCATGCTGGAAGAGAACTGCGGTAAAGCTCAGTTCCTCACCGTTGAACAAGCCGACACTGATTTGTGGCATGAGCTGAGAAAAGGCCGAGTCACCGCTTCACGGATGCACGAGGCCTCCCGTTGCACCATGCTTAGCGGTTCGCTCACCAACAAGATAATGGGAATCAGTTCCGGATTTTCGTTTGCCATGAAAAGAGGTACCGATTTGGAGGGACACGTTTTTGCCATTTTGCAGAAAGAGTATCCTTCCCTGCAGAACACGGGACTGGTACTGGATCCGGAATTTCCATGGATGGGTGCCTCACCGGACGGTTTGGCCGATGATTTTGTTCTGGAAATCAAGTGTCCTTACACACCGAACACGCACGCATGCTACATCGACGTCAATAAGCTGTCCAAGAAGTACTTCGCTCAGATCCAACTGCAGATGCACATGACACGGAAGACGAAGGCGTTGCTCGGGGTGGCAGCGCTGGATTTTGAGAGGACGCGTAATGTGACCAAGGTTTGGATCGACTACGATAAGGAGTATGTGGATAACATTATGGAGGAAGCGTTCGACTTCTGGCAGAAGGGCGTTTTCCCAGCGCTATTGAGAAAACGTAAATCGAAGAAGTAATTGTGGACTTTTTATTTTATTGTTCTGTTGTATTTTAAACTGATCTGAACTGACTTAAGTTAAGTTAAGGGTACTGGTGACTGCCATTTTCAATACTTGAAATGAATTTAAATAGACTATAAATAAATTATTTGTACGAACTTGTATAGAACGTCCTATTGGTAGTACAATAGAGTTCACAGTAACTGTAATAACAGCTGGTAAATTTCATAGACATGATATGGTAAAAAAATGTCAAAAATTTCCTCCACAAAAAAAAAAATCTCGTTACCACCTCTGTCTGTAATAACTGTGAGCTCGTTGGTGTTGGTAGAACTTGTGAAAGAATGGTAAATAATTGACATGCATACACAAGCACTTAGATTATTTTACAGGAGTCAGTGTTTTTACTGGGTTATTGAATTGTTAAATTTCAAATGACCGTTAATCGTAAGGAATCAATTAAATCGATGAATTTTATTTTCTATCATTAAATTAACTAACAGAACTAAGTATGTACAAGTTTGGAATATTTTTTTCAATTTTTGAATTTTACGCAGATAGGGTAGAGAACTACTTTGGCCTATACGCCCATTTTGGGCCTATCGAGCTAAAAACTTCAAATAAATCCATGATTTCAGAGTTAACAAGTCAACTATGCGTTTGGTACGATACTTTAGTTAATAAGCTTCGGAACGAAGTCAATGAGAACGCGTGATATGAAGGTTTGAACCCATTATTCCCAAAAACAAAAGAAGCGCTCCGACCGGATAAATTTTTACCGAACAGTTCAGCAATTCAAAAACCCAGTCAAACCATACGGACTGGATTAGTTTGCAGAAACATCTAGGGAAACGCCTCAATGATGTAACTAATATCAGATTTGTTTTTGAATACAGTATACCTCGATATAACGTAATTGTTATTTTTGACTTTTATCGCCGATTTCTCGCAATCGATCTTTCAATCAAGCAAAAGAATAACAACATCGAACAGATGAATCAATCTCCCATCTATTGGTAATAGTGATTGTATGATTGAATTGTCAATTTTTGAGATATCGACCATGGAAGCTACAAGTGACAGGTACGTTATATTGAGGTATATCTGTAATGAATTGTTCATTTGGAGTTAAGTTTCTAAACCATTTATTTTGTTATTAATATATTAGTGAATGGAGCAGCAAAAATAATATCGTAGTTCTACGTCAACTATGCGGCCGTGCTTTGGACACAACCCTTAACTATTTTGTATGGAAAATACGGTCTATGGCCGTTAGTACGGGCAGTACGGGCATAGAGGTAACTCTAAGACCACTGGGTCCCGAAGAAAATCATTATTATTTTTGGCTCACTCAGTACCAGAACAACGGTCCCAAGCAGTCCCAAGCTATTTCACTCACCCCTGCATGTTCTGCATGAATCCACACACCCCTGATGTTATCTGTCAAACTTTCATAGCGAATCAAAACAAACATAGTGTAGTAATAGAATTTCAACTAGAATAGGGTACGTTAATCGTTTGCTTGGGACCAATAGGCTACTAAAGTGGTGAGCCAATTTAAAATCGTTAGTTTCGTATTGATTGTTGGTACGGGTGTCACTTCTACAGCAAAAAGCAAAGCCCTACTTGACTAGCCTATTGGTCCCAAACAAATCGATTAACGTACCCTATTCTAGTCAAAGTTCTAGTACTACAGTATGTTTGTTTTGATTAGCTAGTTTTGTGGTGATAGTCGTCCATACTTTAACTAGAGGGCTTTAGCAAAAAGAGGTGGTAAAGTTTGAGTATGACATTCAAAATTGGTTAATTTTGCTTTCAGAAGGTCACAATTGGCAATTGCTCGCTCATCGCGGTTGTTCATCGTTACAGCTAATCGCTATTGTGAGGCTCTGAAAGCATTTACAATTACCATTAAAATAAAGAGGGTCTAGTATAAGAGAGGCGCGGATTCAAAACAAACTACCCCGGCAACCTATGCCTAGGAGACTTCTACCAACACTGTCAATACAATCAAGATAGGCGCTGCTTGATTGGCTCTGGTTTTGACAGTACGTTTGGCTCAAAATCAGCCAGTCCGCTCCTCTCTTATACTAGACCCTCTCTACATTAAAATATCTCATAGGGGAAATGGATCTAATGTTGACCTATGGATCTAAGATTGGGCCCATCGCTAAAAATCTGCTATTTACCAATTGTATCTAGATGAACGCGTCATTGGGATGGTACTAATGGATATTTTTGGTCGCTATTGAAAATTTAGTCGATTGCTGTGTATGGGCCCCAATTAGGGACATTTAGGTCGACAGTACATCCAACAATGAATACGAAACTAACGATTTTAAATTGGCTCACCACTTTAGTAGCCTATTGGTCCAAGCAAACGATTAACGTACCCTATTCTAGTTGAAATTCTATTACTACACTATGTTTGTTTTGATTCGCTATGAAAGTTTGACAGTTAACATCAGGGGTGTGTGGATTCATGCAGAACATGCAGGGGTGAGTGAAATAGCTTGGGACTGCCTGGGACCGTTGTTCTGGTACTGAGTGAGCCAAAAATAATAATGATTTTCTTCGGGACCCAGTGGTCTTAGAGTTACCTCTATGGTACATCCATAGAGGTAACTCTAAGACTATAAGGTCCAGAAATAACGTGCTCAACTTTTTGGCTCAGCTCTGGTACCATAGAGGTAACTCTAAGACTAGAAGGTCCCGAAATAACGTGCTCAACTTTTTGGCTCAGCTCTGGTACTCTCTTCGGTCCCAAGCTAATCGATTCACCCCTCGAAACATAGGAAAACCAATAACCCCTCATTTTATCTGTCAAACTTTCATAGTTGAATCAAAACAAACATAGCGTAGTACTAGAATTTCGACTAGAATAGGGTACGTTAATCGTTTGCTTGGGACCAATAGGCTACTAAAGTGGTGAGCCAATTTAAAATCGTTAGTTTCGTATTGGTTGTTGGTACATCCATTTCCCTTATATCCGAAAAATAGCAATTTTGCAGTAATGAGCATTTTCAAGCTTAAGTAAGTAGTCGAGATCAAGGTTGCAAAGACTCATTTCAGCTAAAACAATGTTTTTCTAAATTATGAAATAATTAGATGCCATGATCAAATTTTGAATTGGTAGGATACAAGAAGAGGTTGCAAAGAATGTGTTTGACATATTAAACCTGTTTATTTCACTTCATGAGAGTCACAATCAGCGATTTTTCACAAACTCACTCACTCACTCACTCACTCACTCACTCACTCACTCACTCAGCGATCAGCAAATCGCTGATTGTGACTCATAGAAAGCAAAATTTACAGGTTTTATGTTTCCAACGCATACTTTGTAACCTCTTCTTGTAAGTTACAAGTAAAACATGCCATCATACCATCTTTTGGTTTTATTATTCCGAAAAACATTATTTTAGCTGAAATGAGTCTTTGCAACCTTGGTCGAGATGAGTTCCTCTGATGCTTCCTGATTGGTGACTTACCGTATGCTTTAAGGACGTACCACCATAGAGGTAACTCTAAGACTAGCAGGTCCCGAAGAAACGTGCTCAACTTTTTGGCTCAGCTCTGGTACCAACAATCAATACGAAACTAACGATTTTAAATTGGCTCACCACTTTAGTAGCCTATTGGCACAAACGAAGTGACAGACGACTAACTGGCGAAGAAATCCATTTAAATAATGTGGTTCACTGTAATAGAATTTTCTTGGAAGCTTGTGCCATCATCCACCAGATGGGTTAGTTTTTTTGTTTTGATTTGAACAAAGTTGATTTTGTGTACAATGATTCTTTGACAGTGTGCAAAGAGTGCGTATCATTTTGTAATTTTTTTATGCATTTCAGTTTTGAGTAGAGTGAAAGAGATAGAACCAAAACATTCTAATACATTTGGTGAAAATGCTAGTACAATCCAGTAGTAGTGTTGCCATGTGGTACAATCCACTAGTAGTGGTGTTGCCATGTGGTACACTGAAAAATTGCAATAGCAGGTTAGTCACCAAAGTTTTCGAACCGCTCCGTCTGTCACTTCGTTTGTGCTATTGGTCCCAAGCAAACGATTAACGTACCCTATTCTAGTTGAAATTCTATTACTACACTATGTTTGTTTTTATTCGCTATGAAAGTTTGACAGTTAACATCAGGGGTGTGTGGATTCATGCAGAACATGCAGGGGTGAGTGAAATAGCTTGGGACTGCCTGGGACCGTTGTTCTGGTACTGAGTGAGCCAAAAATAATAATGATTTTCTTCGGGACCCAGTGGTCTTAGAGTTACCTCTATGGTACATCCATAGAGGTAACTCTAAGACTATAAGGTCCAGAAATAACGTGCTCAACTTTTTGGCTCAGCTCTGGTACCATAGAGGTAACTCTAAGACTAGAAGGTCCCGAAATAACGTGCTCAACTTTTTGGCTCAGCTCTGGTACTCTCTTCGGTCCCAAGCTAATCGATTCACCCCTCGAAACATAGGAAAAACCAATAACCCCTCATTTTATCTGTCAAACTTTCATAGTGAATCAAAACAAACATAGCGTAGTACTAGAATTTCGACTAGAATAGGGTACGTTAATCGTTTGCTTGGGACCAATAGGCTACTAAAGTGGTGAGCCAATTTAAAATCGTTAGTTTCGTATTGGTTGTTGGTACATCCATTTCCCTTATATCCGAAAAATAGCAATTTTGCAGTAATGAGCATTTTCAAGCTTAAGTAAGTAGTCGAGATGAGTTCCTCTGATGCTTCCTGATTGGTGACTTACCGTATGCTTTAAGGACGTACCACCATAGAGGTAACTCTAAGACTAGCAGGTCCCGAAGAAACGTGCTCAACTTTTTGGCTCAGCTCTGGTACCAACAATCAATACGAAACTAACGATTTTAAATTGGCTCACCACTTTAGTAGCCTATTGGTCCCAAGCAAACGATTAACGTACCCTATTCTAGTTGAAATTCTATTACTACACTATGTTTGTTTTGATTCGCTATGAAAGTTTGACAGATAACATCAGGGGTGTGTGGATTCATGCAGAACAAGCAGGGGTGAGTGAAATAGCTTGGGACTGCTTGGGACCGTTGTTCTGGTACTGAGTGAGCCAAAAATAATAATGATTTTCTTCGGGACCCAGTGGTCTTAGAGTTACCTCTATGGTATAAGGCTGATGTTTTGGTAAAAATGTATAAGTGAAACATATGAATAAAATAATTAATTTTCGTTTCGTGTATGTTTCGAGGGGTGCATCGGTTAGCTTGGGACCAAAGGGAGTACCAGAGCTGAGCTTAAAAGCTGAGCACATTTCTTCGGGACCTCCTGGTCCTAGAGTTGGCAACTGCTAGCTCACTCACAGAA